TTATGAAAACTCAGCCACTGAGAACCCTGTGGGCACAGTTCTCCTCTGACACACACATGGGGCACCATGAGGCAATGTCAACTCCATTCCAACTGGTTGTTGGTTGGGTTGGGTTTGGGTTTTGTTTTGCTCTGTACTCAGAAGCCTCATTGATGGAATCCCTCCAGACCTCCGCCCTTTCCTCCACAGGCAGCAGGGAATGACTCAGAGGAAGTCCTTGGCGCCCAGGGGAGGTGGGCATAGAGGCTAAGCCATGGGCAGCTGCAGCAAGTTGGAAGGTCAATGGTCAATGACAAGTGTTCCTTCTTGTGGAGCCAGCCCAGATCCACCTCAGGTGGGAGGAATCCCCTTCACTCCCACACCTGTGATCCCTAAGGATACGGATGATTAGAGCTAATTACTTGTTTACATTTCTGAATTCTTCAGAGGACTCCAGGCAGGGGTGGCTGGGGAGTGGAAATGTCACCTTTCAGGAGGGAGGAAGACCCAGAGCTGAGTCTTGACAAATGCTCCTATTGTATAGCCACCCCGTCTACCAATGGAGGCTCGAGTTTCAGCAGAGCTTCCAGACTAAGACAGACTAGGAGGAAAGGCCTGGCCATCTGCTTCTGAAAACCAGCCTGTGAGAACCCCATGGTCAGGGCAGCCCTTCATTCATTGTGCATGGGGTTGCCAGGAATCGGGGAGTTGAAAGTTCCTTGTCAGCAGCACCCAGTACGGACGGAGCCTGACACAAGCCAAGGGCTCAGCCCTGAGGAGCGGAGAGGTCAGGCCAGACGGACAGGGAGAGCAGAGTGGCCAGACGGACAGGGAGAGCAGAGTGGCCAGACGGACAGGGAGAGCAGAGTGAGCACAATTTCAGACCCTGGTCTGAGGGCTCCTGCTATGTTCACATGGCCCCTTGTCTCTCTCCTCTGCCCCATCACATCAAACCCGCCACCAGCCCACACAGCCTCACCCTCTGCCTTGCCCCAGTGCCATGGTCCATCGGAACCAGGACAATAGTCTTTTTGTCAGTGCCTGTCCCTCCACGCTGCCCAGACAATTCTCTCCTGCACACAGTCACCAAAGCGACTGGACAAAGATGCGAGTTGGTGATGCCACCTTCCTGCTGCCTTCTCCACAGCCAGGGTCACATCCACGCACGTCCTGGGGCAGAGTCTGTATTACACACTCTGGTCACTCAACCATTTAAAACTACCTGCATCGCCCAGTGTTTCCCAGATTATTTCACCTCGGAACCCTTTCTACCTGTGGCAACTATTCACCATGTTCTGAGGTGAGTCACATTTTGGCAAACATCACCCCAGAGAGGAAAATGTACCTTCTTGAGCGTGGCTGAGGGGGCCCGTTGTGATTTGGTCTTTGGACATGCGTCCTGGGTCTGTCTGTCCTGATTCATTTCCTAAGCCTCTATCTAGTCTAAGTGCTGACTTGTTGTCAGTGCCTGGTGGTAACCCATATACAAGAGAATCAAGGGGCGCCCAGCTGGCCCCATCTCTATGATCGTGGGTTCTAGCCCACAGTTGTGCCCACAGTGTTAGGACAGCCTTGTCACCCAGGGAGACGCTTCCTGCTCTGGATTGAGCAGCATCCTGTTGAGAACCACAAGGTTTTCATTGTCGATTCTTGAAAGTAGATCACGACACCTTTCTTGCGTCTTACTCTGCAAAGTCCACTGATTGATAGCTGTCCACACTGGTGACCCTGCATCATTTGAAGTACCGGTCACACAGCTCCCAGCACCACAGCCACACACACACCGCACTAACAGATGGGGGGTGGACTGTAATGATGTCTCCCCAAATCGGACTGTGCAGAACACCCCTCTCTCTCTGTCTTCTTTGTAGATTCCTGACATGGAATCGTCAGTCCATGCGTGACTTCCCTCTCTTGGTGACAGGAGGCTCCACCGCTGCCCACACAGGCTGCGTCAGGATGCTGGCTTGAGTGGACTTTGATGGTCAGTCTGTGTGCTTGTCTACTCTCCAACATGAGTACCTCGAGAGCTGGGAACTCACACGAAACAAAAGCAAGGAGTATTTGTGGTCGTTGTGTTGGAGATACCAAGACTTGAGAGCAGACCTTAGAATGAGCATGTCTTGTTCACTTTTCTTTCAGAACTAGTCAGTGTTCAAAGAAAATGTAAGCTAGTTACACGACCTGCAAGAATATTCATCCTTAATCAGCTATATAGCAGGCAGACTGCAGGCCCATCTGTAGCACTGAGAGGCTCTGTCTCCCTCAGAGTCTCCACAGGGCCCCAAACTTTCCTTATTCACCCACAAACTCCAGTTTGATCCCTTTAAATTCAGTTGAACAGAATCTGGCTGATTTAAAGAAAAGTTTTCCCACCTAACAAAGCCCTCTTTGGATTTCTGGATTTGCAAGGCTGAAGGGTAAACAAAGGCAAGAGTGGAAACATGCCAGAACAGAGTGCACACAGAAGCGTAACTTCATGGGGAATGGGGAAAGCAGGGCCTGAATTGACCACTCGCTGACTGACCCGTGGCTCTGACCACCTCTCCTCCCACCTCCCTGGGGCTGCCTTGCGGACTGGCCCATGGAAGGGAAGGCTGCAAACACATCTCACAGTGGTGCTCTTTAAGAGGCAGATGCCCTTCCTCTGATTTTGTTTCTCCAGCTGTCAACCGACGTCCACTGACCACCAATGGACCCAATGACTAGCCCGTGGACTCCCCCCACCACCCCTGCCACTGATCTGCCGACAACTGAGTTGGGTCAGTAAGTACCAGACAGGACCCCCTCCTCTGAGCACTCCCACGCATCAGTCATCTGGGAGGAAACGCCCAGTTGGCCTCACACCTGTAACTTCCTGCCATGTGCACAGTTGTCAGCGGCTGAATTTTAGAAGTAGGTGGCCAGTCACCTCTAAGTAAACTCAAACCTCTCACCTTTCAGTTAGCATCTGAGCATGCTCACCATTTGCTCTACCCAGGCCCCACAGGGACTCCTCACATCTGTCCAAGAGCTTGCATCACTACAACGTCATGACCAACATCAAGGACCACTCCCCGCTAGCTGTGTCCACCAGCCCTCATTTACAGCTTACCGAGCCTCTCCGTAAACTGACCTGCACTTATACATCCTCCTCTGGTCCTCTCGGGCAGTGATGTCTGTAAGTGTCATCGAATCTGGTCCAACCCATAGCAACACTGTTTTCAAGAAGCGGCTGAACTACCAACCTTGTGATTAGCAGTCCAGTGCTAAGCTCCCTTTAACTCACCCTAGACAATTCCATCATTACTACACCACCACAGAATGCCAGTCCTCTAAAAGAGAGAGATGGGCAGTGTCCAGCCTGTATGAGCAGGGACCATGGAGTCCCGTCGGTCTGCCTCACCTGAGGTCCTGCCTGGGCCCTTTAGAAGGTCAGCCCTGCTTATCCTCAGGGTCTCTGCTCTGTGCACCTGGGAGAGGTGGCCAGGATGGGCATGGGACTGGCTGGGGAAGAAGGGTCAAGTCACTTGCCTCCGAGTGGGGTCCCAAAACAACAGCCGACTCCTACGGCACAGCCAACTGTCAGGATGTCTGTGTAGTAGTAGGGCTGCTACTGGGGGGAGACAGAGAGAGACAGAGGGG